CCCGCCTCCGGTCTGTATCTGCCCAGCCATGGTCCCCCAGAGTGAGGGGGGGCGGGGCCGTGGCCGGAACACGTGCTCTGGAGTGAGACACAGTGATCCAGAGCCAGTTCCCAGCCTGCTCCCCGCTGTGTCCCCCAGGCAAGCCTCCTAATCCCCCCAAACCTCCCTTTCCTGCACCTGTAAAGTGGACATGGGCCAGTGAAGTTTAAAGGAGAAAAGTGCTAACTCATAGTAGCTGTGTGGGTTGACTTGTGTGCCCCCCAAAGAGATGTCCAAGTCCAACTCCAGTGCCTGTGAATGTGGCCTTATTGGAAACCAGGTCTCCGCAGATGTGATCAAGGTCAGACGAGGTCATATTGGATTGGGGAGGGCCTTAGATCCCATGGCTGCTGTCCTTATACAAAGAGGAGACACAGGGAGAAGACCACATGATGATGAGGAGGGGGGGTGATCGGTCTGCAGTCAGGAATGTCAAGGGCCGCTGGCACCGCCACAGACCAGGAGGGCGAGGAAGGATCTCCCCTGGAGCCCTAGAGAGAGCGTGGCCCCGCCGACACCTGGACTCCGTGCTCTGGCCTTGAGAGCTATGAACAGCAAACTTGTTTGAAGCCATCTGTTAGTGGCAACCGGACGCAGCAGCCACAGCAAACTCAGACAACAGCTACTACTTTCCTCCATCCCGAGTCTCACTGCTGCTGTCACTGGGCACCTGGGCCACCACAAGTGACCACACGTACTGGTCACTGCTCTGTCCCTGTCTTCCTCCCCTAACTCTACTCTGACACAGCTTTCTCCGTGCACCACTGCCTCCCAGTGCTGCACCGGCCGGCTCGGGCTGGTTCCTGCCTGCAGGCGAGGCCTCTGTCATCTGGCTTCATGCCTCCACTTCCTTGAGCCCTGTGCCCCACTCCCAGCCAGGCGGGTCCTCCCCACAGACCACACACTCAGGGCCCAGGCTCTGCACCACGGCCCTCCCTGCCCTGCCCTGTTAGCTGCTCTTCTGCAGGCCACCTGGGCCACGAGGGACCCGAGGCTGACCCCTACGGACAAGGCCTGAACCAGGAGAGCCAGTTTGGAAACCAGGTCTCTAGGCAACATTTTCAGGCTCCTTTCTCAGGATGAGTGTGTGAGTGAGCGGGTCTCAGTGAGCGGGACCGCTCTGAACAACACCCCCACCCACCCCTGCTTCTCTCTACAAAAACCAAACAAAAGAGAAAAAGAAACTGCAGGGGAACTCACGGGAAGAATGGGACTTCCTCTGGTAACACATGTAAGAAGTTCATGCACACCAGAAACTAAATGTAGAGACTATAGCTGTAACTGGTTTGGCTCAGTGGATAGAGCGTCGGCCTGCGGACTGAAGGGTCCCAGGTTCGATTCCGGTCAAGGGCATGTACCTTGGTTGCGGGCACATCCCCAGTAGGGGGTGTGCAGGAGGCAGCTGATTGATGTTTCTAACTCTCTATCCCTCTCCCTTCCTCTCTGTAAAAAAAAAATCAATTAAATTAAATAAAATGTAGAGACTATGAAAAGCCTACAGGCTGGCAGGACACCTGACACAGGTGCAGAGACTGCGTGGAGAATGGGGGGACTCACCCCCCCGCCTGGTGACCCGGGAGGACACCGACTGCAGCAGAGGGAAGCGGGGCAGCATGCGCCCCCTAAGCAGCTGCTGGCACATGACTCCGTGTCTCCCCTTCTCCTGAGGCGGAAGTGTGCTCCTACCCTCCTGCCTCCGGAATGCGGTGCAGGAAGAGACACTTACCGACTGGCTTTCGGAATAGCAAACTCCTCGGACGAGCAGGGTGACAAGTTGCGACCGCAGGATCAGGCCGTGGAAGGTCAGAGGGCGGAAGCGTTCCTCCATGGTCCAGTCTTCACTTGGGGACTGGTCAGGGTATAGGTTGGGGTAGGGAGTGTATCTGTTATATAAAAACCAGACGCTGCCTAGTATACCCTCAGCAGGATCGCGTTTCACCCACGTCCCAACCCACTCCCCAAATTCCCAAAAAACTCGGGAGCTACCTAACGAGGCTGGAGCAGAGGGCCGGCCCTTCCTGAACCCCTGTAGGCGCCGGTGCCTGTGCGGTGGGAGGACTGTGCGCTCACCTTCGCTCGAGCATCTGCTGCAGGAGGTCCTCCTTCTCGGCCGGCTCCTCTGAGGTCACGTGCTCATCACACATGTTCCGCAGCTCACTCGACGGGTAGGACTTCATGACTGGCTGCGCCTGCGCTGCTCGCCGGCTCGGGTGAGGATGCTGGATTTCTGAGGGTGGGGAGGGGTGACGATGGCAGAGGTATCCACCAGGGAGGCCCTGGACTGCTGCATGTGCGGGGCACACCAACACAGCACCTACTTAGCGTAAGGATTTGGGGGGCAGTGGGGATCAAAAGCACATGCCGACAGGAACTGCAGGAAATGCTGGCAGTGGCTCAGGGGCCGGTTCACAGGAGCCTCTGGGCTCCGCAGGGCTTGCTGCAGACCCTGTGGTTTCTGCCGGCCCAACGTCCTTGCTCCTTGGATTTGGAAAAGCACCTCAATTGTCCAGTGGGGAACAAACCCTCTCTCCCAGCAAGCCCAGCGGTGGGCACACGACCCAGGTGAGGCAACGGGACTCTCCCTCTGCCTGGATATCAAACCGGGAGCAGCCCAAGGACAGAGAACAGCAGCTCTGAGGCCCGTTCTCCCAGAGGGTCCCCTCGCTGCCTGCATGCCCGAGCACTCCGCTCTGGCTCCTTCACTTCCTGTCGGTCCTGCTGCTTCCAACAACTGATTTCTTTTCCTCTCTTAAGTAGGGCAAAGTCCATTTCTGTGGTTGGCAACTCTAGAACCCTCACCGATCCAACTTGCAGGAATCCTGAAGACTGCTGATTAAAAACAAATCTGTCCCACCCAGCTGGTGTGGCTCAGCAGTGAGCACTGACCTATGAACCAGGAGGTCACAGTTCGATTCCTGGGTTGCAGGCTCCCATCCCCATTGTGGGGCGTGCAGGAGACAGCTGATCAATGATTCTCCCTCATCATTGATGTGTCTATCCCTCTCCCCCTTCTTCTCTGAAATCAATAAAAATACACTTAAAAACAGAACAAAACAAACCTGTGCCCGTGCTTACTGGGAGAATGGACATGCCCTGATGGCCTAATGGAGTCCACGCTCGCTGTTGAGTCTACACTCACTGTCGCACATAATGGGGTGCTGATTTCTCCTAAGAGCCACCCACCTGTGGGGCGTGACGAGCACCAGTCAGTGTGAGCACCATGGAACCATTGCCACCCACCCCTCCTCTCGGCTGTTTTCTCACCTTGAACTTGATGTTGTTACTGATGAGCTGGTTGCCCTTCATGAACTCCTTCTCGTTGCCCCGGTTCTCGGTGACCACGGGGAAGGCGTGGTGGACAGTGGTGCGTAGGATGCTGACCAGAGACTGGATGCGGGTATGCGGGTAGACGTAGGTCAGGTTGGGCTCCATGATGTCACTGGCTCTCAGTCTGCGGAGGGAGGGAAGCCATCAGCCCCACGCCTGAGCCCACGGCACCCGGGAGAAGTGCGATGGGCTGCACTGGCTCTCCTGCGGCACATGCCCTTCCCCAGGCCTGAAACGTCCTTCCCCGCTGTGTGTGGGCCTGGACTCATCCCTCGGCTCAACATGAAAAGTCCCCTTACCACAAACCCCTCTGCTTGCCCAGGGGACTGACCGGTCACCCCCTCCTCAGCACCCCATGGCACATTCCTCGTATCGCACTGAGTTGGTAATTACACTATTGGAATTAAAAAAAAAAAAGTCTGGTGTCCCTTTAGACCCAGATGGCAGCTGCAGCCACAGGGCAAGTCCCTGCCTGTCTTGTCTACATGCCGTCGACGCTGCCTCTGCATCACCAGGGCAGAGACCATGTGCCTGCAGAGCTGACAACACTGACTCTGCCCTTTACAGAGGCTTGAGGACCCTACGCTAGACCACCGGGACTTGTGTGGTACCAGACGTAGGAGGCCCAAACCATTTGTGGGCTGATGGATAATTTGGTGATTATAATACGAGATTTCGTTAGGCACACGCGAGGCAGGCTAGTTCTCAAACAGGGCTAGCAGACCCTTAGCTTCATCCTCACCTGAGGATATTTTTCCCATTGATTTTTAGAGTGAAAGGGAAGGAGGAGGAGGGGAGATAGAGAGAGAGAAACATTGATGTGAGGGAGACACATCGACTGGTTGCCTCCTGCACACTCCCTGACTGGGGTGGGGAGCAAACCTGCAACCGAGGTTCGACTAGGAATTGAACCCGCAACCCTTCGGTCCTCGGGCACCCTAACCACTGAGAAAAGCCAGCCAGGGCTAGCATGCCTGTAGTTTAGACATTCAATCCTAACACAGACTTTATGCACAGCCCTCACTTCCTACTGAACCAGAACACAGGACCGAAACAAAGCCATGCATCGGCCCTGCCCTCCATGCCCTGTCCCAGCTCCCAGCTCCCAGCCCCCAGCCACAGGAACTGCTCAATGTTCCCAAACATACTTGCTCTTTTAATGACCCCGTTTCACTTCATTCTCACCCAAGAATCTAAGTAGCCATTTCCTACCCTGATAGAAACATTCCTTGGGTCCTAGGATGTGACGAGACCTCATGGCCTCACCTGTCCATTTCCGCCTCTGTCTCCCACTCCAGAAGCGGCACTCCTCGCAGGCCCACGTGGATGTCGTAAATGCCCTTATTGAAAAAGTCCCCTGTCCACTTGGCCACCTGAAACACAAAGTAAAGACTTGAAAAGAGGCTGCTGTGGGGCGAACTTGGCCCTGAACCCGAAAGTGGACTAGAAGGGGAGTGCTCACCATCAGAGTGATCATAATGGGAAGCCCGTAAGTGATCTCATTGGTGGATTCGATCAGGATGACCGTGAGACTGATGGTCATACGGACGACCCCGCCCAGGAAAGCCGCGGCACCAATCAGGGCAAAGGTCCCCGAATAGACATGGCCCAAGCCAATGTAGCTGGTGAAGAGAGAAAACAAGAATGTGGCTTGGAATCATGCTGGGTGGAGGGGCAGGGCTACGGTTCGAGCACTTGCACATGTACACACGTGCACATTCATGCACACACGTACACACACTGTACCTTTTGAGGACATTGGCAACTAAACGTCCAAAAGCAGCTCCACACAGCAGAGAAGGCACAAAGAGGCCACTTGGAACAGAAATGCCGTAAGTCCAACACGCAAGCAAGAAATAAAGGATGAAGAACAAAGCCAA